CACATTTCAACTATTACATATGTATTTACATTATTTCTATTTACAAATAAGCTCTTAAACTTATTTTTCTTAAAACGTTGAACAGTAAATAAAGAAGTAAAGCAAACGATTATCTCTTCTAGTTACGACCTTTATACTTGTTTCGCTGCTTGTCATAGGTTGCTGAGCCTTATGAAATTTCCCACATGGAGGATGTAAAAAGAATTTTTTTTAGGTTTTTTTTATGTATATACATTTTAACTAAATCCAAAAAATTATAAATTAATATATTGATACCATAGAATTACACTATAATTTATCAAGTGCAGTAGCTAAGCTGTATGTGGGTCTAAAAAAATATGAAATTTTGAGCTCTCTAAAGACTTACCTCATCGTTTGAAATATTGTGTGAAAAGAAAGAAATTAGCACAATAACACATCAAAATGGCTGAGAAAACCACTAGGGGGACATTTAGAACTTTTGATTGGTTATTCATGTTATATATATATATAAAAGACCATTGCCAAAAGTGGAAAGAGATGAGTAGGGCCTCTGCATTTCATTCAGTACATGAGTGATATCTCAGCAAATAGAAAAAATAGGAGGTTCTTATTTTATATTATAGCTTGTCAATATCTGTAGTTTGAGTTCCCAGTTCATACGAAACTGTTGATTTTGTATTTTGACATCACAAATATCTAATTTGAACCAGTACTGCATTCAACATACCACGTGACACACAAAAATCGGTTTTTAGCTGTATTTTTTTCAATATTTACTTCTAAATTAAGAAATTAAATAATGTATAATATTAAAATTTGAATTATAATCAACAATTTGATACCAAACTTATTGATGTAGATTCATAAAATAGTAGTTTAATAAAATGTTGAATGCAAGTCAACAAATGCAATGACATGGCCTTTGACATGTGACCTGTCAAGATAGGGTTAACTGTGCCTGTTCAGGCAATGCTTGGTGTATCTACAGTAATAGGAATGTAAAATTTCAGCACTTGCATAATAATACTTACTGGTAAACAAAATATAAACTACATGTATTTTAAAGGTTTGGAAAAACAATAAACTTTAGAAATGTGACTTTATGTTGAAAGAATATATATATGTATGAGTTATTTTTTGTGTATAAAAATAATCAGGTTTAAATTAATTTTTATAACAGATTAGTGTTTGCTTCATTTTGACAAATGTTAATATCTCAATAGAACCTCTTGTGGTGGCTTAGGACACTATACAGAGCTTAATACACTTTTTTTTATGTGTGTGTGTGTTCAATTCTGAAATTTCATCCTTCATTTTGCCCCATATTGTTGAAAAAGGCTGCTGTTTTTTCCCATCAGTCAGTTGTGAGACTTTAGTGGGCCATCATTCACAACTCAAATTAGTTTATCCAATAAGCAGTTACTGAACTTGTAGCAAAGAAAATATTTTTGATAGCAATGATCCTCTCATCTACTGCAGTACATTTGGTAAAATGTTGTATGTTAAGAACTTGCTTAATATTTGGATAACAAAGTAGAATTACAAACCTCAAAATGTCTTTAATGTGTGTGTAACTTCTTTCCAATGAAGTCTTTGAATGCTTCTTTGTTTTCAATAAGTCATAATTTTTATACCCCTCAATTTCTTCTTGTACCTGTTTTTCATAATTTTCTAAAACCTACTTTTTGTGTTCAGCAGGTAAATACCATACCTGTAGAAAAGCAGAATTCCCATTTTATTTTTGAACATCATCTGTTCTGTTTTTTTTTCCGTACAAATCTACATAAACATTTATTTTTTTATATATAGTGTAATTTATCTTATGCAGTGAAAGACAATGTCTTTGTGCCACCAAACTGAATTATAAGACTGATTTGAAGATCTTATTTCTTGAACCAATTTCTAAATAAATTGTTTAGTAATTGAATAAGTAGAAATTGTTCTTACCTTTTTGCTTGTACATACAATGGTTTGAGGGCTACTTTATCAATTGATTAACAAATACCACTGTAATATAGCTATACACTGCTATATTAGTATTAAAGGTATTTGATTTAATATGTGTTATTTGGCCATTTTGTCTGTTATTGAGTTTGGCTGGATATTAATACCTATTAGATAAAGTCAACATTTTCATTGCATTTACCAGGAACAGTATAACCTGAAACCTGCTGTATGTACCAAGAGTTTAATTCTAATTACAATAATGGCGAGATTGTCTCTTTAAAAGTACCAGAGATAAATAGTCATGACCTTTATCATGACTTGTTAGACCAATATCATTAATGATACAGGTGCCTGCAGACATTTCACTTTTGTAATCACAGGTTGACTCATGTCTCCTGCCATAAAATGTGAACAAGTGGTGGTGCTAATGGCAAGAAATCATTTTTACCACTTCTGTTATATCTGTAACCACATTTGATTGTGAAATTGGCAGTGTTGGTACTTTTTTTTAATGTGTTTAATGGCTTGGTTTTGTTGATACTTTTAAGTGAAGATTTAACAAAATATAGCTAAGTGAAATTTAGAATTCTCTATTCCAGCAAATCTAGTTTCAAGTCTCTCTCTCTCAAGGATGCTTTCATTGTTCCCAGTGTAAAGTGGCTTGTGTTATATTTCAGTGTAAGACAATGAAGAGTAGCTGTTGCTGCTGGAATAACTTTTTAAATTATTGACCCTATAAAGCTTATGTTTGTAGCAATTTCTTTAAACAACTGTAGCAATTTTAAACTTTTCTCCAATGGGAACCATTGATTATTGTTGAGGTTGATGCTGCTGTTGTCA